GAGAGTAAGAGCGAGTGACCGATTGGTATCATAAAACAGAGTTCTGGCATGGAAATTACACAAGTGTCTTCATGACACATCCACTATCAAGTCGAATGAGAAATACCATTGCCATTGGGTTGATTCTGGCTCTGCCGTGTCCCTGTGGGTTTTGGAGACTAGGAGAGTAGAGAACTCATCTTCCTCCCTGGGGGCTTCGAACTGCTGATCTTGCAGAGAGCAGTCTGACGTGCAACCACTCCATCACCAGGGCTCCCTTCAGAAATACCACCCCTGTCACTAAAAGGTGTCAGCAATAGCTCACGTCCTGTCTCCCTGTCCCCGAGATCACATCGAGTCCAACACCAAGCATTTAACTGAAATAGAGCTGGCCGATTAGCTAACACAGATCTCTGCCTACATCCATGCCGATGAAAGAAACTTCTTCTAAAGAACTTCCAAATTATTCCACAGAAGTAAAAATAAATAACTAAAATAAACAGAGGGGGTAGATATTGTGTAATTCAACTGGATCCATAAGCATTTCGGAATGTCTGCAATAGTCCTTTGCAAATACTTTCCTGAAAATACTGCTATTTACTCTTTTTTTTTTTACTCAATTTACTTTTGCAGTCAATACTCAGAAGTCTTTACTAAGCACCTGCAATAAGCTAGGTACATGGGCTCTAGGTGCTCGCAGTACTCAGGCGTTAGCTATCTAATTCTCGTAATACACTCTAATTCCCCGGCCACATCTGAAAGTTGATGTCCAAAGTGCACGCAACATAAACCAGCAGAGCGTGGGCTTGAACTAGCAACGGCTGCACACACAAGAGGAGACTGAAGAACACACAGCCCATCTCAGCAGAATGTGAAACTCCAAGGGCATAACCTGCTTCCAGGGCAATGGTCAGGGTCACTATCTTCGAACCCTGAGACTTCTTCTGCTTTGTGTGCATGTGTGTGCAGGGGGTGGGGAAAGCTCTCGAAGAATATTGTCTGCTCTCCCCCAGATCCTTAAGGTGTTACGTACAATCTGCACAGGCCAACGGGCCCACATTGTTTCAGCCTAGAAGCCCGTGTGCCTGTGGCTGCCCGCACTTCCTCGGGTGTCAGAGGCTGCCCACTCTGTGTGAGGAGGACGGGTTTGGAAAGTGCCAGGGTGGAGAGAATTCTCTCTCCTGGGAAAACCACCTGAGTTAGTTAATTGTGCCAGCCTGGCCGATAATCACATGTGAGGCTAATTGAAAGGCAGAGGGATAAATGGGTGGTGAGCCTCGCCTTTCTAGTTCTCGGGTCTCTTGCTTTGTGATGGTTGCACCGGGTGCAGCTTGCCTTAGCAGTTCCCTGCTTCAGCTTGCAAAATTGACTTCCTACAAGATATCCCCAAGGAGAAGCCACATGGACCTATCCCGATGCAGCCCTGGGTGCTGTAGCAGCCGTGTGGAGACCCCTGCTAGTGCTGAGATGCTTATTCGTTTACTGACTCAGCTTTCCTCCTGCAGTCGGCATCATTGCCTCTGTTTTGTGAGGTGGAGGACTTTGTGGACTGGTGTTGGGTTAATGGGTTAATGTTGGACTTGTGGGCTTGGGCAGCATTGGGTTGGGATGTTTTCGTGATGCACATTTTCTTTACATAAAACTCTCTTATACATGAGTCGCTGTGGATTTGTTTCTCCAAAGTACCTAGACTAATACACCACCCCTGGGCTCACTTCTTATTTCACACTGGCATAGGAGGGGGCTTCAGAAAGTTCATGGAATAATTTCTTTCTCTTTTAACTTCCATTTGTCCACAAGCTTTTCGAAGGAGCCCTGGAGGTGGACTGGGGTCCATATGGGGTTGTTAACTTTAAATTCATCAGTTCGAACCTCCCAGCCACTCCGCAGTAGAAAGACGAGGCATTCTGCTCCCATAACGATGGAAAACCTCGGGGGGCCACAGGGCTGTTCTACTCTGCCACATGCAGTCTCTTTGAGAAGGAGTCGACTCGGTGGCAGCATGCTTGGGTGATTTTTCGATGTACCGAAAGATTTGAGATGAAAAAATCTCTTACAATATCAGCAGCACAGAGGTGGGAAAGCTTAGGTCAGAGTTATGGGACATGACGAACCAAGAGGCACAGCCTGGTGCCTCTCATTGCTTTTTTCCCTCAAGGGGTTTTCTAAATTCTTTTTTCAAGTCAGATTTGCAAGCCTCCTGGAGGTGAATTTTTTTTCTAGGGCGTGGGGGGGATGACGCCAGCACTGTTGGTGATGCCAGCTGAACTTTTCTGGAAAAGGCAGATCGGAAGGCTGGGGAAAGGAGGAGTGATACAAATGATCTTCTCTTAGGCGGAGCCCGAGCCCCTCCTGGAGTCTTCAAGCCAGTGGGTGTTCCAAAGCGCAAAGTATTTATAGATGGAAGATAACTTTTCATCAGCTCATTGGCATTTTACATCAAATGCATAAGAGCGGCCCTGAATCACTGCTTTGGGAACACTTGCTACGGTTTTAGAAGTCGCTCCTCGAGCACCATTGGAGAACGCATCGAGACAATGAGATTTCAAAGTGATGTGGCTGTCTGCCTGTAGAAAGGGGACTTCCAGGGGGCTTCAGGGACACCACCCAAACAGGGCAGCCTTGCCCCAAACTTTGGGCTAAGGGAAACGATTGCTGTGGCTTTCCTGAATACAGTTCAGAACCACCACATACTCCCTCGCCTCTGGACTGGAAGAACTTTCTCTCTTTGGGATCTACATGTTCACATGTTTGCGGTGGTAATTTCCACCAGCTGCTGGGGGGCTGTCGGTATCTTACCAGGTGGGCTGGTCCAAAACGAAGTCACTTTTGTTCTTTTATGTCGTCCTAGAGACTGGCTTGGTGCCTCTGGGGAAAGGAGACGGAGGGATTTGCACCTAACAGGCACCAGGTATTTCCCTGGGGCACCATAGGCTCTCTACTCATTAAAAAGAGGAACATCGGGTTTGTCAAGGCAGAGCATCTGGATTCCTCATGTTCTATACACGCGCCCCTACCCCCACCTCTCAATAAACAGTGTAGAGGCAGCTGGCACAGCACACACGTGAGATGAAGCTCTAGAATGGGCAGTAAGGGCATGGCCCAGGTGATGGGGAGCCACACCGGAGCCATGCCAGAAGGGAGCGCTAGTTACGCATAGCTGGTCTGTGTCTACCGAAGCACAATATTGGGATAGAAACCTAAAATCCAAAACGTCACACTCGCTGTCATGGAGTCGAGGCTGATTCATAGCGACCCCACAGGACAGGGTGGAACTGCCCTGTGGGTTTCTGAGACTGTAACTCTTTACAGGAATAGAAAGCCCCATCTTTCTCCTAGGCCTAATACAGTCAGAGATAACTCAAAAGCACTAATTGGTGGATTTCTCATGTAACTTCCAAAGCTTCTAGTCATGTAGAAGACCCAGTTAGCTATGTAGGCTAATTTCCTATCCAATTTATTCATCTGGTGTAAGGCCCTTCCCATAGGTTTTGAGGACTTGATCCTGGGAGCTTGGAAAAGTGCACGATGCATACAGACCTACCCTATCTATCCATACAAACCCCAAACAATCTTTTTCTAGAAGCTTCGGTCCTTTAAATCTTCGTGCTGACTTCCAGCCCAAATAGTTATCTATTTTTACCTTTATAGGACTTAATTCCTTAACACATTTTTGGGGGGAGAAAAGTTAAATCCCCTTATTATTATTATATATGTGCAATTGTTCCCAAGTTCTATAAGTAAGTAGTACTTTAACATTTTTGATACTTTTAGACTGACTCACAGGTGGGAAAAAAGTACTTCTTCTAACCAACTATTCCAAAGGCTGGATGTTGTAAGGTTATATATGCTTTCCCCCCAAAAATTAAAAGATAAAATGATTTACAGAAAGTAGCAAAATGATGCATTAACTCAATATTGTATTTCACAAGCAGCTCTAAATTTAACACTTAAACACACTGCTTCTGGAGAAGGTTCTGTATTTTCTTTAAATATAGTTCACATGTAGATTTAAGCATCTTCCATCTTATGCAAGTGCTCAGTAATGTTTGGATACTTCATAATATTTGGACATCTTCACTCTGGCATTTTCTTACACATCTTCTTTCTGTTTTCCACTTAGTTAGCCGATGTAAATGGAAGTTTCAAAACTCCACACTCACTGCCATCGAGTCAGTACTCACTCATGGTGACCCTAGAGTGAGTTTTCAAGACCATAACTGCTCACGGGAGTAGAAACCCCCACTTGTCTCCCGAGGAGCTGCTGGTGGTTCTGAACTGCCGACCTTGCAGCTTTCAGCCCACTACGCCAGCATAAAGGCACTGATGACTAGATATAGAAAGAGAAGAACTATGGAAGTGGGACCATGAATAAGAGGGGAACCTGTCAGGGGAGGCAAGCGCAAATAGTTCCCACTACCAGAGAAGGACACGAGAGCCTGGCGGTGAAGTGGTTATGCACTGGGCAGGGATCTGCAAGGTGAAACCACGCAGCTCCGCAGGAAAAAGAGGGGCTTTCTACTCCCCCAAAGAATGTCATTCTCAGAAACTCACAGGGACAGTTCTAGCCTGTCCTACAGGGTTGCTATGAATCAGAGTTGATTCGGTGGTAGTGAGTGGCATATATATATATATACATATATATATATGATATATATGTATATATATACATACATATAAATTATTGCATTCCAGAGAAGTGCAGGGTGATGTAATCTTTCTTTCCTCCTTCCTCCTGCTCCAGGTGCCTCCCACTATACCCATCCCTTTTTGGCACTCCAATTCGGCAGCCTTTGGTTGAGAGAACAAGGCGGGCGCACTGTTCTCGCAGCGAGTGCACTGATATCAGGCCATTGTGTACAGTTTGGGGGGTTCTGCTTCTATTCCCCAACTCGGGAGCCTGGCCATCAGCACTGGCATGCAGAGCTCCCCTCTGTTGGGTATTTGTTTCAAGGCCTCTTTCCTGGGTCAAAAACTGTTGTTTACCCAGCACGGAGCCACTTTTTAATTGGCAAGGGAGCAAGTTGCCAATTCAAGTGCATGTTCACCTCCAACATCAGCTGGGTGAATTCTTCATTACTGAGGAAGGAAGGCTTCCAGTCCTGCTGGATGTCACAGCTTTCCGTTTGCGCTGAGACTTCTGGAAAAAAACAAAAACAAAAAATAAGCTTTTATTCTCAGTGGTCTCTAGGACCTGGAATGAACAAACGAAGTGCATGCTGTGTCGATGTAATCTTATGTAACCTTCTGGGCTTCTCATGGAAGAAGCGCTGGAAAGCAGTACAGTCGGCCACGTTCCCCAGGACTGGGAAGTGAGGCCGGAAAGTGCTGAAAACACACCACTTGATGTTCTCACACCCCTCTAATGAGGCTCCCGGAGGGAGAGAACCAACCCCACCCTCTGCACGGATGCCATCCTTGCCACTTGCAGGTGGGACAATGCCCTTGAGTTTCTGCATGACAAAACTGCATCACCAGCCCATCGGAGTCAGGCCGCTGTCACTTACCAAGGCAGCAGAAACAAGACTGGGGTGGCGGCACACCTTTTCCAACCACTGCTTTGTGACCCAGGCGAAGGGAAGCACCTTACAAATCCCAGATGTTTGGCCCAGGGATGGTGAATGATGGGTCATAATTCCAGAAGCATCCCAGGCTTATGGTACATGCTTATTCCCCGCCCCCACCCCCCCAGCATTTCCAGGTACTGAAGTAGAATGTGCTGTACAAATATACATTAACTTAGTTGCTCTGGGGAGGCCCTGGGTAGTGAAAATGATCTACGTGCTCAGGTGATCACTGCAAGGTTGGAAGTTGGACTTGATCCAGAGGTGCCTCAACAGAAAGGGTGGTGGCCTACTTCTGAAAAAAATCAGTCATTGAAAACCCTACAGAGAGTAGCTCCACTCTGACAGGTCACGCATGGGGGTCCCCATGAACAGGAATCAACTTGTGTGTTTGTTTCTAAGGCCAGAACTTAAATCTATTTATATATATATATAATTTATTTGGAGGGCGTGGGTGGTGGTAGTCTGTAGCCTACGTGATTCACAAAGCTACTTTGCACTAAAGGCATTCTTCGTGTTTGTAAATTTCAATAATTTTTGGCTCACACGGGACTCCTTACAAACTCATGTTCTTTTGTAGTCTTAAAAGGATGTTTTGTTCTATTGAGTCATCTTTGACAAAATGATTACAGGTAGAGCCAGTGTGATCTTGAGCTGTTTGTTTTCCCTTTATCTCACCTTCCACCCTAATCCAACATTCTACTCCACTTTAGACAGCAAGACATCTCTACATTCTGCATGCTTGATGCTCGTCAAAACCTAAATGCCTGGGGTTTACACCCTAGAGAATACAGCCAACCTGTTCCACAGCGCCTCGGAGGATGCCAACGGTTCAGGCAGGTGATCTAGAAACTGTCAATGAGGAGGCACGATGGTGACCCTGTGTTTCTGGTCATCGCTCTTCGCATGGAGTCTGGGGAAGGCACCCAGCCATTCTGAGCTATTCATGAAGAGCGCTGATTAGACACCTCCACGCCTTCAATCACACACCATTCTCCCCAGTGCTCAGCTCTACGGGGGAAGGTGTCTTTCTTTGAGGTTTCAGGAGAACAAGTTGCCGCTGTTATTATACGAAATTGGATTTTTGTCTTTTGTGCTTTTAAAGCAGCACAAAAGAGCCGCTAATAGCTTGCAGTAACACAGCGAGAAATCCAGAGGAGGAAACGGGCCTGCCATTCAGTCAATGCACAGCACTGCGTGAGCAGCCACTAAGGAGAACCAGTGCGGAGGGAGCTCCCACGATGCATGTGGGGAGGGGGGCACGCCATGCTGTCAGGGGGCACATGTGGAGAAAGGCATCCTGGGAAACAGAGGCGGCCACAGTTCATTCTGGAAGGTCAGCTGAGGCGAGGGGAATGGGGTTGAAACTCCTAAGCGCCTCAGTTTGCCCATTTGGAAAAGACAGAGTCTGCAGGTGAAATCGATCATTCACACTCTCCTTGTTGACACCCTCACTCTTCTGCAGAATTCCTGTTGCCCGCTGGGGTCAAACTATAGATTATCTGTTAGTTCAGGGAGAGATGCTTTTTTTTTTCCCCCTGCAGCTGGACAATAACTTCACTTAGATGGAAGCTGATTCAACTTAACGCGAACGGGCAAATGGAAGACCGATTTCTTTCAGAACGCGATCTCTAAGATAATGCTGCAAGACCCGATGCTTGTTAAACCAGCAACATAATAATACAGAAAGAGGCTGTTAAGTTCACTTCGTATTTAAATGAATTGATTATACGCCTTGAAAGCTAAGGCTCAATTCATAACATGTGAAAAAACACACATCACGTAGGTGTCTGACAGCAGGTAAGGAGAAGGCAGACTGGGCGGCAGTCAATGGAGTGCTCAACCCGGTCTCCATTAGCACTGGCTGGGAACAATGCCATCGGTTACGGGTGGCCCGGCAGGGTGAGCAGATGTGGTCAACAAGTTTCCAAACAGTAAAGGAAACAGAACTACTTCACAGAGTCCCTTTTCACAGACATCCAACTGCAGTGTAAGCCGTTGCTGTGTTCCAGAAGGCTCCACCAGCGGCTCCTGGGGAGCCCGAACAAGGAGCAGTACGTTTGGGGGTGGATTTCGGCGAGGAGAAGCCAGAAAATGAGGCCACCATGCTATTGCTCGGCTGGGAGAATATGACCTTGTCCAACGGGGACATTTCTCAGGTACCCCCAGCCCACTATCCACCAGGGCCTCAAATGGGCTCTGTATCCGTTCAGCCACGGCTGCTGAAGTGAAGCTGCAACCAGGCCGAATCTGTGAGGTGCGGGTCGTACCAGCACACTCCCGGGAATGGAAACGTGTATGGGTTCCCTGCTGTGAGAAATGGAATCTTCCTCCTAGAAAACAAGGGTGGTGGCGTGTGCACTGCATAGCAACCAAGTCTCTGGACCAGGAGAGTCTGCAGCAGCCTGGCTGCACTCAGAGATGGCGACTGCTCAGGGGGCTTGGAGCGCCTGCCGCGCTCCACAGTCCTGGCAGTAATCCCGGGGCTCATCGAATCATGTCCTCACAGGGCTCGCTCTCGCTTCTGGGTCTTCCGCTCGCGCACTGAGGCCTCCACTGCCCCAGGCTGGTTATTGCTGGGCGCACTCACATTTTACAAAGTCAGGGGGTCAGCCATCCCCGAACTGGCTTCACTCTTGTTTGAAACATTGAGATGCAGGAAGGAGACACAGATATGTGATGTTTGGGAGAAAATGATATCCACGCAGGTTAAGATTCACACAGGATTAGGATAACATGAATATAATCGGTGGCATTTCACTCCACTCTATATAGGAAGAAGAGGGGCTGTGCGGCGCAGTGATTAAAGGGCTCCGTTGCTCACTGCCAAGGCCACGCAGGCCAGCCAGGCTCCGTAGAAGCAACGTTTGGATGAGTAAGGATGTGCCAGTCTCTACATCATGTAAGTGTTTGTCTCTCAGACACTGTTAACATTGAATTTCTCTACAGAAAAACATGGTCAGATCTTCATTTTGATTTGGATTGCTTCCAAGAGGCTAAGTATGACTCACTTCTTGGCCTTTTAGCTGCGATCAAGTGCAAAGAGAAGATGCATGCATTTCAGGATCAAGATTTACTTCCCAAGCTAAGAAAATAAAGATTACCAAGCAATCTTATGGAGGTAAAGGAGCAATAACGAGAATAACCACCTGTATCGAATCACCCTTTCGCAGTTATCATGCGTTATCCCTCTAACACGAAGGCAGAAAGCATGCCTGTTGTCATGGTCCTCATCCTAGACACACATTGGCACCTCCTGGGAAACTTTAAAAATAATAATACCCAGACCTTACCCAGTGGTGGGATGGTGAAAGGCTCTCTACCCTCATCATAAAAAGCCCTGCTTTGGACCGTCTGTCCATTCCTGTGGTGTAAGTACTCCCATCAGGGTCAATTTTCAGCTGCCAACTGGAAGCCAACAGGCTTGCCACGCTCCTGAAAATGTAACGCTCACCACGTGCAAGCTCAGATGACCTGGTTCCTACATACCACTGGAGTCCCACCCCTGGAGATTCTGCTGCATTGATCTGTGGCATGTGGCTCGGTGACACGTGTTTTCTCAAAGCTCCCCCAAGCAATCCTAATGGACAGCCAAGGCTGAGGGCCAAGAGTCTAAATGGACATACTAATGAACAGCCACCATGTAGTTACGCCATCAATAATGATAACAGTCTTTATCAAGCACCTCTTGGGAAGAAACAGCATGGAGTATTGCTTCAGCACCTGGGATCTGGAGACAGACTGCCGAGGTTTAGACTGCACATCTTCCTGGCTGGCTGGCCAGGTTGACTGGACTAAGCTCTCGGTGCCTCTGTCACCTCGGCTACAACATGGTAGTGACGTGAAGGGAGGCTGTGATGAGTTACAACAGCTAAAGCCCCTTGGGACAGTGTCGGGTCTGTGTTATTTTGCTGTTGTTGTCAGAGGCTGTCATCAACTCTTAGCGACCCCGTCACAGCAGGCTGATCACTGCCCAGTCCCATGCTATCCCCAGGACTGGTTGTGGATTGGACCACTGTGATGTAAGGGGTTTTCACTGGCTGGCTTTTAGAAGCAGATGCGCCTTTCTTCTTAGTTTCTTTTAGTCTAGAGCAGTGGTTCTCCACCTTCCTAATGTCGGGACCCTTTCATACAGTTCCTCACGTTGTGGTGACCCCCCAACCAGAACATTATTTTCATTGCTACTTCATCACTGTCATTTTGCTACTGTTATGAATCAGGTGACCCCTGTGAAAGGGTCGTTCGACCCCCAAAGGGGTCGTGACCCACAGGTTGAGAACTGCTGGTCTAGAGGCTCTGCTGAAACCTGCTGAGCAGCATAGGAACATGTAAGCGTCCACTGACAGATGGGCAGGGACTATGCCCTGAGGTGCACTGGCTGGAACTTGAACCCAGTTCCCACACGTGGAAGGTGAAAATGCTTCCACTGAACTACCAATACCTCGTGCCTGAATAATGCTGACCTTTGCTCTTCTCTCTCTCCCCGTGACACCTGGATCATAAGTAAGGGAAAGGTGGCTGCGTGGTCTTGTTTTTGTTGTGCTTTAACCTACATTTCGGTTCAACCACAATATGT